GAGGGGGGCGTACTCATGTAGGAACATGCCGTAGGCGTTGGACCGTTGACTTCGCATGCGTACGATGCCGGAACGGAGCGATATGCCGTTTTTTTGCCGTCCCAGGCTACGTTTCACAAGAAGCTGGTCATCATCGTTGCGTTTGCTATTCCAAAACAGATGCGCCATGGGTTGATTGGGCTGGGTGCGTACTCACGTTTTGCATTCTTTTTGCATTCCTTAGCTGTTAAGACCATTGGCCACGTGCCTTTGAGAGGGGAATTAACGTCGTTCCCACCGGGAGAGTGTTGGGGGTGTGCTCATGTTTCGCTTGCCTAAGCTGTTCGACCATTAACCGCGTGCCTTCGAGAGGACACAATGCTGTTCCCACCGGGGGGGGGAGAGGGGGGAGGGGAGGGGAGGGGAGGGGCGTCCTCTCATGTTTCGCATGCCTTACCTGTTAGACCGTTGACCGCGCGTCCTCGAGAAGACGGAGCATTGTTCCCACAGCAACTATTGCCGATGGGCAACCGTTCGGGTTGTGGTTTTTTGCTCTTTGGTTTTTCGTGAACAGTACCCTTCGGGGGGTAGTCAGCCTTGGCCCACGGAAGGCGCCCGCGCCAGTTGGACGAGTACGGATGTTGGGAGGTACTGAGCAGAGACCGGCATGTTTACAACGTCAAGACATCACCCAGCTACAATGACAACAATACCCACACCGCCCCTACATATTGCTCCTTCCCGGCATTGTAGGAATGCGATGTCAGTGGTCTAACGGCATGCGTGTACATGAGCACACCCGCAAAAGACGACATCAAATGGTCGACCCATTGACGGCATGCGCCCACACGGCTCCACCCCCTCATCGTATTGTAACCCCCCTCTTTCAGGACATGGGAGTCAAGTCTCTCGCCGACCTTCACGCCGAGGTGTACGAAGGGACGATCCGGTTCGAGGTCCGCTCGCCGTCGGCCCAGAAGGAAGGCGGGGTACATGACCTGCACTCGTACTCGCGAAAGCTCTACGCTTGAAGGGAAATTCGGGTGGTATAGGTTTGAATCTCTTCGCTTGAAGAGGTCTAGACTATAGGCTCGAAGCTCCACGCTTGAAGCGTGCCCGAACGTGTCGCGGATGGAGAGTTGGTGGCCCCCGTTGTTCACTGTTGCTCACGTGTGGCTCGTGATCGTCGTCGCAGTGTACGCTCGAGCTCGACGGCACTAAATATGGCTTGGCTTGCGGCGCTGTTCGTGCAAAAATGCTGCCGGTGGCAGTTAAGTGACGGTGCCTTTTTTTGTGAGAAGATGAGGCCGTGCGCAACCCTGCGAAAGCGAGAGGCCCAAGCTCTGTCGTGAACGCGCGCTGTGCGTCGTACGGCACTCCGTAGCCGTCTGCCGATTTGGTGATGGCGATACGCGATCTGTTTGCGGTAGTTGTATGTACGCATACGGCAGTTTTCGCGCAGCCGTGGACGGCTCTCTTGGGCGCGGTCGGTCATGGCTCACGTTGGTGGTGCATGACGTGGGCGTTGTCAAGGGACTTATTTGTTTGGTGTGTTTGTATGTACGATGGCAGAATGTTGTTGCAGTGTTGGCCGACCGCTTTCACAACATGGAGCCTGTAGTAGATCGGTAATGTCGGACAGTTTTCCAATCCTTACTTTGTTTAACTGCTGTTTGTTTCCGAAGTGTTATGCATACAGCAGTACATGTGCGTACTTTCATGACCGATTTTCAACAGCAGGCAGAATCACGGTTTTGCGATAATCTACAGCAGTATTGGTCTGTCGCAGTGCTTTCAAGTGTGTACTTGCGAGTGAAAATATGCGGCACGATCTTGTTGTTGCGGACGCATAGCGTTCGTGTAGTACTCAGGTGGGTGTTCGTGTTGTATCGGCCTGGCGATTTGGTGGTCCGACAGCAGCTGTCTCCATTTCCCCCCCCCTCCCTGTTCGTTCGCGATGACGTCACCGAAGCACAAGCAACATGTGATAAATGTTGTCGCGGTGCTGTTGTTTTACTTCGTGAGCACGAATACAAACCGATCCGTCAGCGACGTTCGTCAATTACGAACTTGAGTACCACGTGTGATTCGCACACAAGTTGAGTGTGGGCAGTCATTTTTCACAAGTCTTCCAGAGCGCGAAAAGACCGGAACTATCTGTGTAGACGATTGCATGAATCCATCCTGGGTTCGAGGACCATGCAATGTGGAGGCAGTACTTCTGAGTGCTTTTCTTGGAAACACCGTTACCGCAGCATGCATCATGCATACTTGCCGTCTTGTTGCTGTGTGGACAATATCAACGGAAAGTATCCTAGCAAGAGGTTACAGATGAGCCTACTCCGACCAAGACAAGTTTGCAGATACAAAGACCGCCCCTTCGAGATGGATGTGTTAAAGTCTTCACACAGTGAGATTCTCGGACACACATAACAGCATATTGGTGAAAGTGAGAGCGAAGCATCTGATTGAGAGCGAGATTGCGCGATGCGCTGCAGCTGGACTACTGCTGAGAGGTGGAGCTTGCTGTGTAGCTTGAATTGAAGGGCCAGCCCGTAGCCACAAGCAGATACCCTGGTCATCCTTTGGGAGTCCCTCGATGTGGAGTTACAGCGGCGAGCAGAAGCTACAGCAGAGCCCACCGCCCGAGGCCAAACCGCCCTCCAACAGTTTGAGGCAGGAACAGCCAATCTGGGGAAATCTAGCAACTTGTCTAGCTCCTAGCTGCAGCATTCAATGACGATGACACGCATCGTGACGCTGCTGATGAGACCTTCAATTTGCGCCGCTTCTTGGAAGAGCCCGCCCCCTACTTCCCAGGAAATGGCAAGAGGCGTCTGGACCCGAATTCCAATTTTTTTGGCTCTCGCTCTCAATTTCATGCTTCGCTCTCAATCACCAATATGTTGTTATATGAAGCAGTCATGGAAGACAACAATCGACCACCAAGGGTCTCCCTCGCGAAATCCGGCGGTCCTCATCGACCCTGGATAATCACGAAATCACGAAAGCGGCATGTGTTACGCTACCACGCAAATGTGCGGGCAGTGCGCAGCAGATCCGCGTTCCGCGTTCCACGTATCACGTTAGGCCTTTGCTCCATCGGCCGTTTTGTTTGTTTGACGGAGAATAAGAAGGCGAAATAACTTGAAATTAGTAGGGAAATAAAGTTTGTGTATCTAAATCGAATATAAAACGGCCGATGGAGCAAAGGCCTACATCGCGCGCACCACAAACGCCGAGGGTTTTTCGTCGAACCGGCTATTTTTTGTCGAACCGTAACATATTGCACCGCGAGTAGACACGCGCGCGCGCTTTGCGTGTGCATTCATCATCCTTTCTGTTGTACACGAGAGATGTCCAACGGATAATCAAACGAACGAATCAAAACTCGATCCGTTTCCCGAATCGCGTGCCCATCTCATATCATATCTTCCTCCGCATCCAACCTCAAACGCTGCTGCCAGACAAGGAAACGTGCACATACCTGACGACGCCCACGCCTGCTGCTGTACTTCCGACGATACATTTGATTGCCATGTGGTCCACGGTGCGAGTGGTGCTCGGAGTGTTCCTAGTCCTGGCGGTTCTCGGTGTCGCTGGAAGAGAAGCAGGGCCTGCGACTCGAAAGCTTCGGGCGGATCCACTCAGCGCTTTGGTAAGTTGTGTGGTGCCGTCTGCGTACTGTAGGCATGCACGCACGTCGTACACGCCCGCTTGCGTGTGTACAGCTGCTTTGGCTGGCGATTGCCGGCACGACGTGGTTTGCGAAGTAGGAACGTCTCGTCGGAAGATGTTGCTGACTGCCTTTGTTTCATATGCAGCCAAGGCCTGTAAAATCTGTGTTTCTTTGGATCCGTGGGGTCAAGGCCACATACTTTGCCAACACTAAAGGAGCGGCGTCGCCTGTGTTTGCCGTAGACCTACAAGAACGTAGTTGCGGCGGCGGTTGTGTTGTATCCCACGATAGCCCGATCGACGCTAAATAGGTTGGCAGTGTAAGCGGTGGGTGTGGACCACATAGCACGTCAGCAAGATCCTCCTCATCGGGAACCAAAGCATAAGTTGTGGTCGTCGCTCATTCGAACACTTCCTCCCTGACCAGACTCGGATCCTCTCGCGTACACGTCAGCCCCGTATCCACTCAGAACAGAGCCAATGACGTCGAGGCGGGAGTATCCGATGGTGCATGCTTAGACTATCGCCGTACTACAGCATTGATTCTTCTTGTGTAATGATACCCCGTCGGAAATTGCCGAAACAAGCTGACAGGCCCACAGAAAAGTTTGCCGTGATTGCACAGGCGTAAGGAGCAAATTGTTCTGTCAGCAATCTGTCTCCGGTGTTATGTAGGCTTTGTCCCTTGTAAATAGACTATGTGTGCTAGGTATCGCATTCATGCCGGTCATCATGTGCAGTTAAATCGAACCTCAAGATCTGGCAAACTTTTGCGAACAACACTTCGTGGTGGTGGACAAATAATGCAGTCGACTTTCCTGTGACGTGCGATGGAATACGATGGCGCCTCGAACACGTCCTCTTCCAAATCCGAGCATGTCCCCTTCTGCACGACGATATATTTGCCTTGAACCTGTAGAGCAAGGCAACATGGTGATGGCAATAACGCTCCGGGCGAGGCCGGTCTTTGGCTGTATCTTAATCAGTACAAAAACAAACCCGTGTTCCTCGAAAACGAGACGCATAGCCAACGGTCAAACGAACCACATGAAGGCATGCAGAAAATCGAGTACCTCTCTTTCCTATCCCGCCCCGCCCCGCTTCCAAAACCGGAAACTGAAAACATGCAGGAGGACCACGATTTGATTGACCTACTGGAGATCCCGCTGGATGACGTCTTCCTCTTGCCCGAAACCTTGCCCCACGGTCGTGCGGGCCGACTAGAGAAGAACAAGCAGGTGTACACGAACACCAACAACTACGACGGCAACAACCGGGAGAGAAAGCTCCAGGCATCCTCGCCGTCTCCATCGCTTGCTGTTCCTACTGGGGCTCCTACCGACGGTGCCTCCCGCGGCATCTCGTCGTCCTACTTCTCGTCCTTCGTAGACTCGCCGTCGGCTACTCCCACGGCGTCTCCTACCGTGGGTGCGTTGTTTCCGCGCAAGTATTGGGTCATTTGCTCATATCTCTGTTGCTGTTGTTGCTGTTTGCTGTTGATGTTGTTGTTTTGGTATGGCGGCATTTCCATGACAACGACATTCATGTGCTCTTCGCGCCGGGTTCGTTTGTCGTACCCGGGTTCGCACCTCAAGTCAAGCTTGACATGTGTTCCGCATACTCCTGTATCGTCCGCGGCGCGCGTCGTAACTTGTCGTTCCATTCGCCTCTCATGAGGTGTCGTATACCTCATCACCCCCAGAGGGTCGAGAACAATCTCACCGTCATCATCTTCGATCCTCTTTGTTCACTACCGAAACATCAACTAATTTGAAACAATTCCACAACTACGACAGAAGTTGCTAGCCATGGCCTGTCGCCTGTACGTAGCACCTTTGCTCACGACACCACGTGCTTGCTGCCCAAAACTCCCGTCTGATCTCCTGCTACCCCTTTCCCATCTCTTGGTGCAAACGCTCGGCGTGGACGAAAAATATTTCCAGGGAGCGACAGCCGGGGGGGCCTCTTCGGAAGCATGTCACCCTCGGCCTCGCCAACTGCCGTGGAATCCGATTCCGGCCCCGATTTTGACGACGGTTTCGTGGACGACGTCCCCCGCCAGGCCGATTCCGCTCTCAGGCGGGGCGGTGGCGGCGGCAGTTCTGCCGGGGTAGTGGTCGCAGCCATGACGATGGCGGTGGTTGCGTTCGGAAAGTTTTTGCCATGAAGTTGTACGACAGCACTACGAGAGAGAGCGAGAGGCAGAGAGACAGAGACTGAGACTGAGACTGAGACTGAGACTGAGACTGAGACTGAGAGAGACAGAGACTTGACTGGTAGATTTCCCCGGGTGGGCTTGTGCTCTCGACACGGCCAGGAGCTCTGGCTTTTGCGCATGGATTTTTTGCGGGCGGGGGGTTGGTTGTCCGGGTGGGCTTGCTTTGTCGAAATGACAAAGAGTCCCCGGATCCGCACCGTGTGTATCTCGGTATTTTGGCGGGCGGCGGTTGTTGCTGTTGCGTTGCCGGTGAAACAATTGATGAACGAGGGGTGATGTAGATGTCGGTGTACTGTAGCGTGGCGGCCCAGAGAGGCGGGCGCGTGCTGTGTCGTCCGCGTCGAGAGACGGTGATGGTGCTAGTAGTAGCTTTTGTTCTCAACGAAGAGGAAACTGCCTCATCGTGCCCTCTGGCAGGCCATGCGGCTTCCACGCCAGCCGAAACGTTTTTTCTTCGGCGTTTTTTCAAGCACGCATGGTGATATGCCTTGATGTGACCTGTGTGTTGGAGTCTTGGGGCCCTCAGGGCAGGGACAAGATGACCGGACGCGCTTCGCACAAAGCCGACGACCCCATTTTTGCCGTGACGTGGACGCGTGAAGGGCAACCAACGCGCTTTTTGTTGCACTTTTCGTTTGAGGGGATGCTTGTCGGCATTGACATTGATTTCGGCATCGACATAGATTGGCGAATGGTGCCGCTAGGTAGGTTCGATTGCAGAGGTGGTGGTAAACGTGGCAGTGGGGCTACTGGTTTCCCACAAGAGTGAATAACGTTTTGGAGGAAGCTGGATAGCGAGAGGAGCGGCACAACGGAGAAGCGTAGACAGACGCGGCGCTCTCGGTGATTCGTCGCGTCTGGATCGCAAACCAACGGCTGAGCCAGATCGTTTTATGTTTTACGCTTGCCTTGGCTCGCTCTTTGGTTGTTGCTATCTTGAGGCCGGTCGGTTGTTATTGCACTCGTCGTTCATGTTTTGTTTCTCGCGGATATTTTGTTTGATCTCCAACTTGGCCTGAGTCTCCCAGCGTCGTGCCTATGGCCTTCTTCCGACCTATTGTACCTGACGCGTTCTCCATGTATCACACATTTTTTCACCACATTCTCGTCACTCCTTGCCTTGTGGTGAATGTTCGTCTTTGTTGTATTCTAGCGGTGGCTGTGAAGAGTACTTTTCTACCAAGCACCGTTTCTTGTCACGTCGATTTCGCGGGCGTCTTTCTTGTGACTGATTGTCATGCTGAGGCTCTCGATCAGATCAGTGACAGTCAACAGGTGCGTGGTCTTGGGTGTGCTGTGGTGTGGTCTGACAGTTGGGTGTTGGCGGGGGGGAGGAGGGGTCCAGCGGGCATGCGAAAGTTAACGTTTGAGCCGAGGTGAATGTTCAATTGCGTTTGTTTTTCTGCGATTAAGTCGATCGTCTTTTCTGCGCTTGGAACGTGTTTGATGTAGTCAGCAGCCCGTGAGGTGTTCTGAACACTTTCTCGGCATTTCTTGTGGTGATCTTCGGTATTCTTTTCTTGTCGAAATCGAGGGTGATTGGTCCCGGTGAACTTCTGTACGCGCGCGTGCACTGTATGGTGTCGACGTCTGTGTATTTCTTTTTGGTGCTCTCTGGCGCCGTTGAAGCCAGAGGGCCCACGTTGCTGTGAGGCATAAGGGGGATTCCGCGGATCTCACAACCAGAGGCAATGCTCTCGATATTGCTGGAGGACTCGCCTGCTCGGGAGAGGTTGCGCGATGTGAGTGGGTAGCATGGAAGAGCACGAGCTGACTGAACAGCTGTGCCTGGGTCGCATTCCCATATCTTCTGGGTGGGGAGTGGGTTGATACTACAAAGCAGAGTTGTGCTCCGAGGGAGAATGAAATAAGATGACCAACAAACTATATTTCGGCCCATTTCTCTCGTCGAATTGGACGTAAGTACTTCCAGGATGACCACTTGCGGACTGTTTCCTCGGCAGCATTGTTTCGCTTCTGGTACGATTCCCTGCGACTTTTCATGAACGACTCCAGAAGTAAGCGAGAGACTTTTCACGAAGCCCCCTTTGTCCCCGGTGGTACTGCTGCCATTTTCTTCCAGCCGTGAGCCAAGATTAGTTTCACAACTGTCTTTTAATCGAGCTCTGCATACCTCAGCTCGAATACAAGCTCACGGTTCTTGGGCAAACGATGATCACCCAGTTACGAGAGAGCGCCTCCTTGGTACGCACGTCAAACATTCTCTGCTGGCGGAAACCAAGGTGATACCAACAACGTTTGATTTCTTCCGAGGGAAACAAGAAATAAACACTTTCCGGCAAAAACGAACGGCTACCTATTGTTTGTGTGTTGTCCCATCTATTCTGGCGCCGGAGTTACAGGCCTTTCGGCATGCATGCCCGACGTATCAACCGAGGTCACACAGGCGGAAGGTCACACAGAAGCTTCTGTCTTCATTTATTTTGTTTCTGCTTTGTTGCCCCACCGTTCCTATGTACACAATATTTATTCACACCACCTACAGCAGTGGCCCGTTCATTGAGGCAGCAACTAACAGCAGCCCCCTCTCCCCCCACTGCGATAAAAGCTGAACCACTATTCACCGTCAACAGAGACCAAAAAAGGGGGGTTTCCACTAGATAATTATGGCGGAACACATCATCCCAAGGCATCGCGGTCATCATCACTGTGTTCTAACGACAGACCAAAAGTCTCGGCTAATCTCGCCAAAAACAGCGTCGAAGAACTCAGGTGGCACCATCTCTCCTGCAAACGTCCCCAACGACTACGCTGCTGGAGGGCAAACAATAGCAACACCAGAAACTATCTACCTTCATGCTTCCAGCAGGCGCTCCCATTGTTCTGCGCGAGTTGCTCAGAACGGTACTCGGACCGATCCAGGGTGTGCACGCACAGGACGACGCTCTCCCCGCACGCCTCAACCAAACGCCTTTCTAACCGCGAAGACTTCTGGTCCATCCGGGGTTCCAAGTCCCGAGGAAGCGGGGTTCCTTTCGACCCTGACATCCCTCAGCCCCCCCTGCCTCAACGGAAAGCCTTCCAAATCGCGAAAACCTCCTATCCATCCGGGGTTTTTAGTCCCAAGAAAGAGGGTTCCTTTTTGGCCATGGCGTCTCTTGAGGCCGCCAACTTCCTGCGGTAGGCTTGCGCCAGAGAAGTTGGGCAGCCAGCTGAGTCACTTGCTCTTGAAGAATCAAAACTCTCCCCGCGCAGCAGACGCGGAAATGCGACTCAGGCAGCGACAACCGCGCGTGACTTAGCGGGGGAGTTTCTCTATGGCATTGTAGCCGGAAGTGCACGGCTTGAGGAGACAAAAAAAAACGCTCCCTCGAGACTACGTCACTTACAGAACAGCGGCCGAACGTGTAGGAAGCATAGTCAGCGCATATTCCTGTGAAGTATTTTCATTCTCTCGTACACATACTTTGAGCCACAGAGGTGAACCAACTTTCGGTGATCACTACGGCATCCAAGCTGAGGTCACACAGTCTGAGTAAATCCGTCGTGCTTGCTTTGCCCTGGCGAATTATCACGGAGGAACATCAGCACTCGATCTTGTCTCTCTCTTGCCAACGCACAGATGTCCAACAAATTTGAGAATAAGGCAGACGTCCATTCACCTTGAGAATAAGAATCACTTGAGAATAGCGCAGCAGGCCGTCAAGTCACCCTGAGGCCACAAATGTAAGAACAACGCCGGCGTCCAAATCGACTTGGAATCATAAAAGCATTGGAGAAGTATTTTGGACAACGCCATACTTGTATATAGCGCTATCCCTCTTTGTAGTCCTCGTCCATGACGTCTTCCATCATCTCCTTCAGTTCCACCCTGTCAACGAGTCATTGGCACGGTGTACGGGGAGAGAGACAAAACGACGACGACGACGGCACGAACAACAAAGATAGAACAAACAGAAAATTGTGTCAGACATATGCATACGCTGTAAATAATTCACGGCAATTCACCACAAAACCAACAGCAACAAACACAACAAGGTGGTCATCTAAAACTACTACTCGAGGAAACCACACCCAGAGATAGCAGAAATACGTTTTTTGCGGTTTAAAAATTGTTGGGTTTTCGGAAGAAAACTACTTCTATACAGTAGGTGTCCCAATATAGTGCCGGTTGAATAGCGCCAAAGTCCGGTATAGTGCCGGTAAGTTTTCTTGACACAGACACAGGCCTGAATAGTGCCAACCCGGCACTATTGAGGGCTTCCCGCTTTAGTGCCGGTTTAGGCACTATCGAACCCCTCCATAGTGCCGGTTCACAACCCACACACAGCCTTTTTTCGCCTCAAGCCTTCCACGCCAACAGACCTTCGAGCTACACGTAAAGCTCGGTTTCTCTCGGTGCGCGTGACGTCTTCAAATGTCACGGTTTACCGATCGACTAAAAAGGTTCCACCAATAGGCTGGGATTTCAGTAGTGAGGCGAACGAAAAGGAAGATGGTGGTAGTGAGGGAAGGATATGGAAAATATAGCCAAGGGTAGCAGTGATGATGCAGGAGGAAATCATGGCGTTGAGGGGAACAACAAGAGTTTCGAGCGAGACGAAAGCCCAACAAATTGTGGAAAAATTTAGTGAAGAGTGTAGTGGTGGTAAATAAAATACTTCGAAGGAAGGATGAAAACACTCCGAAACGAAGGCGTGTTCAAAGTAGTAAGCCTTGGCAGTCATGTAGTTCTCCTCTCTCGGTTGCTACCATTTCTGTCTTTAATCCAGAGAATAGCTCAGTCTCCTCCATGACGCCCTCTCACGGCCTTGAGAAAGCAATATTGTCTGTTTTTGACCGCACTGAGACTGACGTCTTTTGGTCGGCCAGTCGTTTTTCTTGCTTCTGAAGCCTTGGACTTCTCTCCAGCTTGTTTTCGAAGGAACAGGGGTGTTCGTTATCTTCTTAACACCTTTTTTAGGTTTCATCTGCTTTGTGTGCTCATGTAAGGAGCACTTCATCCATCCATGTTTTACCTCCAAATGTACATCGGGCGCATGCATGAGCGTCTTTCTTTCGCTGTCGAGGGGTGCCTTTGAGGTTGCCTAAGCACGGCCTTCTTGCAACACAACACATCATAATTTGATGGCGAGATGAACTTTTATCGGGCAGCACGGTCTACGGTTGAAAGGCAGCAGTAACGTTTCACTGGCGAGTGCTTGCGCTGAGGGGGGACGAGAACAACTGCTGTTGAACAAATCTATCTGGTCAATCAAGCTAATTTTAATGTGACCAATGCCGTGCTTTCGACAGTCAAACAGCCTCAGGAAACTTAATGAAGGCCGCCCACGTCGCCCTCCTCACGATTGATCCAAATACTGTTTGGTACTCTGTCAGCCCCGCAAAACGCAAGCGCTGCACTCTGAATTCGAACAATCCTAAATAGTGCCAAGCCGGCACTATAGAGGGATTTTCAGGCCCTGAATAGTACCGGTTTGCCACTATTCAGGCACAATTCTGAATAGTGCCGGTGCCCGGTATAGTGCCGGTCAAATCGCCTATACACATATTGGCACTATATCGGGACACCTACTGTATCCGGAGCACAGTGTTGATTAATATATCACTATTCTGATTAGTTTTGTATTCTTCAAGGATAAGTAATCATGATCATGATCAAAGACAAGACAGACAGGAACGACAAAAATCTGTGGGCAACCACGTTTAGACCGTGGCGCATTCGCGATACAACCGAGGTAGGTCGTGCGCACCTGATCTCGTTGACGTCGTCCCCTCTGAGCACGTCTCGCACGCACCGGCAGGAAACCTTCATCTGTACCATCTCTAGGGCGCCGCGAATTACCCCGCAAAGTAGGTTGGAGTAGAGGAGCCCACTGTACTGAGGAGGGAGTTCCACGAATTCTGGCGTTTTAGCGAAACGGGGTGCGGAGGAAAGAGGGAGAAGATTCAGGACGACAGAGGCACAGACCTAGGGGGGGCGGGAGGAGGAGAGAGACAGAGTGAGAGAGGGAGAGAGAGACAGAGTAGATTTATCATCTACTGGGGCACCCCTCACCTTCAACAAGATTAGCTGGACAAGGCCGACCCAACGACACCGAGACTTGCCGTCGGCGGGGCGGGACGCTACCGGATGGGGCCAGACGCTACTGGATGAGACGGAACGATGCTAGACGGAACGATGCTAGACGGGACGGTGCTAGACGGAACGGGACACTACCGGAACGGATAGGGCGATTATGGCCCTCTTTGACACTTCGCGGGAAACCTGCGAGCTCGCTCGCGGCCTACCGTAGGTTGCATGACGTAAGATATTACACACCCTGGACTGATTTTTCAAAGCTCTCTTGCTCCGTAGGAAAAGCAGCGTCGGTGCCGAAAATGGCGAGAGGCGTTGGAACGGTCTCGGGTGTCCGACAACGCATCCTTTGATTGCAGCATCCTCTTCGTCGTGGAGTAATGAAGCTTTGAACATCGTTCCACGAAGTAGGTACGACCATGCGCGATGGCACACACACCGTGCCATGATCATTTTGCTAGGGTCCTCGCGCAAGCAAACTAACTCGCCTATGAGGGGGTTGTCGTACAGGAGCAGGCTGAACGCCGTCCCGTCGCCGTTCCAAGACGAAACGTCGGCCGTTACCCCGAGGAACATCTTGAACGCCACCTTTCGCGCGGACAGAAAAGCATCGCGCGCACGCCGGGGGAGGGGAGGTTGCTTCGACCAAGCTGCTTGCGTCATATAGCTCCTGGAGACCGTTGAGACCACCACCTCGAGTGGACCACGACTAGCACCGACGGTACTTCAATTAAAACCGGGTGCGTGTTGATTTTTTGCCACACCACGAACGCGCTTGCGTGATGCTAACCTTTGCGACGACGTCGGCGGTCTCCTTGAGGTCGGTGCAGGGCGTCGAGACCTGAGACTTGGCGAGGAACTCGTCGATCAGCCGGACGCCGATATTATAACCCCTGTTTTTCGGTGTTTTGGGCGAGAACGGCGGGAAAAAACAAACAAACGCCCAGAGCAAGTGATGACGGGGGAAGCAAACGGGAAATAAAGCTGGCGAAAGAAAAGCTAAAGAAAAAAATGTTGAGTAAATGCGCAAAATTCTTCGCATGAAATACACGTAGGTTTGTATGTCTCGAGGACGTACTCCTCGATGCCCTTGTCGTCAAGTATATGCACCGTGTACCAGCGCGGAGGTGAAAACAAACGGGGGTGAGAATGGTGGGCATCACAAGAGTGCTGGACAATTTCCTTGCATTGGTGGGCTTGACCCTGTTCATTCAATTCTGGCGCTTTCGGCAAGACTTCCATTCCATTTCCACCCAGGCAAGCAACGCCAACGATGTCCCTTTGACAAGACAGCAGTCGGCTACAGCAGTAGCGCTGTCGATGTTCAAGTCACACGCTTACGCAACACCCGCACACGAAGACGTTGATTGGCTGCCGCTCACGGATGAAACCGTAGCATCGTCTGAGCGCTGCCGCAGCTCTGAACGGGAATCCCGACAAACAAAAACACACGAAACGTCCTCTCCCGCCGGAGAATGATCTGATTATGTCCCGAACTTATTCGGTTCCGGCCGTAATTAAACCGCCGGAGTAGGGTCCCTCCGGCTGAGACAAAGGGGATACCAAAATGGGTAATGCGTGTGTATGTGCAGACACCGCGAGCGACCGGAGGAAAAACAACGACACTCAACCAAACAAAAAGGGAAAAACAGTTCCTGTGTGACCTCAGCTGATATGTCGGACGTATACTTCCATCGAAAGGCCCGTAAACAGGCGCCAGAATAGATACAAGGGGCGAAAACATACGCGGCAGTAGTTCTCACATGCTCTCGAGTTGCTTGTTGACCGCCCCTACATCCTCGAAGTCCTGAATCAGCTGCATCACCATGGCCCCATACGTAAGCGTGAACAGCTCCGCGTTCTGTAAAACCGACCCGAATCCCCGACCCCGACCCCCGGGAGCAAGGAAAAAGGTATCCAGGCACAGGGAACCCACGCGGATACAAAAACAAGGTGGAAGTCATGGGAACGAAAAAAGGCAAGGATGTCATGTCAAGATGACGATTGTGGAGGGCTGCTAACACCCGTCAACAAGAGACCATCCTTCTCTTGACTTAGCTCCTCTATGCGGCACCGAACAGGTGTTCATTGCAACGCGGTGGGTGAATCAACAGCGTCGGGCGGGGCTCCGAACAAGGCGCCATAAGGTGTGTATCTGTCACGGGCATGCTATCCTCGTCTGAAGCACATCAAACCCTCAAGTTCTTCCAACTTCAGCTACCGATCCAGCTCTATCTACTGGTCTTCGTTTTTAACGGTCGTACCAGTGGATTGGAACGGAGGAAAGACCGTATGGGTATCGGATGAGCGTTGTACAAATCCTGTACGAATTTTTCTCGTCTTTGTGTTGGGGACTTATCATTGATTTGTACTTGGAGGGGGGGGGGTCGGGACTCCTCACTCTCACCGTGTGAGCGAGCGCGGGCATGATTTAACGACGAAGCGGGGAGCAAGGACACAACTTGTTGCGAGTGGCGCCAAGCAAGGAGCAGCGGGCCTGCTGCCCATTCCGTTGCAGTATGTGTCCCCCATTTGATCAAGCCTTGTTGATATGGGGGACAAAGACTACGACGGGCAAAAACAACAGGCCCGCGCCTCCTCGCTTGGTGCCACTCACAGCAGTTGCCGTACCATTGCTTGCTGCCTCCTCTCCATACTAGGCGCGCGCTCCGCGCTCACATGGAGAGAGTGAGGAAGGGTCTGGAGTAGCTTTCCCCAGCGAGATGCTACGTGGAGACCTACAGCGGCATCTGGGACCTGAGGTCCCAATCCCCCTCCAGATACGTCAATACCGTTGCCAACGAAAGCAACACTGAAGTATGGTAAGTTTCACGCAGTGCTTCTACGATGCCCATACTAGTTGCTCCAACACAGAACAAATCTCCTTGTTCTTGTAGCCGCTGACCAATTCTCACCCCCCCCTCCACAATATCTCGGAGTGCCACCTCTAGGGGGTGCTGAATAAGGCCGGCAATCGGTTTCTTAGCCAAACCCACGATGCTGTTTGGCGGCAAGGCGTCGACAAAAAATGTCATTTCGGGCTCAGCGAAGTTTTGATGCACGATGCTAAATAGGTCGGGGACATCATGGAGGAACGCCGTACAAGTACTATAATAGAATAACAGGAGGGGGGTACGCAGACCCTATCCCCTCGCCCTAGCCCTAACCCAACTTTCCCGATTGTATACTTTATCCAACATGTTTCCGGAATACAATCAACCCTACGAGGGCTGCTGATCATTGACCAGCGACACGCGGGTTGGCACGCCCATATCTGTTGCTGCTTGGGGCGTGTTGTGTCAAGGCTGCGGGTGCGGTTCGAAGAAAAGTTCGCAAAATCTGGGTCCGTACAGCAGTTCACGACCAAATGCTGTATTCACACGCGCCGTCATAGATTCAATCTCTCGAACTGCTCGTCTACAGCAGTGCATATTTACCGAAGGTTGCGTAAGAAGGTTAGCACACCCCCTGGGGCGTGGTGACGCGAGAGCCTGGTCCGGTGAGAACCCGGCGTGCTCCGTCCCGGCTTTGTAGGG